TTTGAGGTGAGTGAGGTTCTTGGTTTCTTGCTAACATCATTTTCTGTCATCTGCAACTATTATCACAATGCTTACATAAAAAGTACAAGCCTCATTGCCGAATTTGAGGGAATTGCTTTGTTGGGAAAACCCATGAGAAGCTCGCAAGTTTTCCTTTTTTCTACGCTGAATTTTATTTCCTTGGGCCTTGAACCGAGATATACGTAGCTGCCGCCTTTGACCTTAATATGTTATTTGCAGCTGGCTCCCTTCAGTGCTTCATTTTACTAATATGGGCATGTATATCTATTTTCCAGATCATGGAAGGCCATTTTAATGAGCCTCCTCCACCGGGAACTCAATACCACCCAAGTTCATTGCCGGTTTCATCTTCTTATAATGCATCCTTCTCGGGGCCCATGTTTTCTTCCTCAGAAACTTATAATGCTCAGTATATCAGAACCGATCAGCCTCCTAATGGGTCCAATGGTTACCATGTGCAGTCTGAGAGGGTTAATGATATTGAGGCTCTTGCTCAGAATGCTGTGCTGCATGAACAAGTATTTTCTTTTGAATTGAACACTTCCTTTAGCGTTTTCACATCAATATCATGGGTGATCCGTTATTTTAACCTTATATGACTTGTTTGAACCATTTGCAGGAAATCGAGACACAAATGGTCATAAAGAACCAGAGGTTTGTGCTGAAATCCCCCACGGCCCCATCTGATAACAGAGTTAAAATTGGAATTGTGAATTTTAATACACATTTTGTTGCTTGTGTTCTATCAGAGATTCGAACACTGCCACTGGAGCTTCTGAGGACAGTAAAGATATTTTGTATGGACGCCATGATCCGAATGCTCTTAAGGTCTTTTGATCTTGCTATCATTGTTGAACTCTTTACTGATTTATTTATTTATTTTTATTTTTTTATTTTTATTTTTTATGTGTTCTCTGTTTCAATTTTGCAAATATTTCATTGATGGTTAAGTTGATTGGGTAACAGGAGCATTTACTGAAGATGACTACACAACATCGTACAGAAATGGCCTTAAAACATGGCAAGCCCACCCATATGGAGGAAGGTTGGAATAATATACTAACCGTTTTTCTATCTTTTAAACATTCAGTAATTTCATGTATCATTGGAAGTTACTAAAATACTGTATTTGGCGTGAAATATACTGGGTGCTTGTCTGAATTAGCAACACATGGGGACATATACTTCTTTTTGTTTATAAGCATAACAATTGTGTTCTGAGGATTATGATTGGAAAAATTACGTAATGTAGTTCATTGAATAATTATTTTTCTATGAAGGGAGAGAACAAATGTTCATTGACATTCTGAACTCAAGTCTTTAGCAGTTACTACTTATACAATGCTGCTGTGTGGATGAACACTTATATTACTTTTGACTTTTTGTTAGCCAATCTGGATATTGGAAATGGATATGGCGTGCCTGGCGGCGGTGCTTATAACATGTCTTCTATGAACAATAGTAAAACACCTGGTAAGAATACTACCCACCTTTGAGTAACATCTCTGTCCAGTGTTTTCTGACATGTTCCTGTATCATCAGGAAGCAAAGGCGCCGATGGCCAGAGGAGAAGCCAAACGAATGCAGATAACAGTGGCGAATCTGGAAAGGAGTCAATGACTAACGACTTGCCTGAATATCTCAAGCAAAAGTTGAGAGCAAGAGGTATTCTGAAAGATAATCAAAATGCAGAAAATCGTTCAACGTCAGAAAATGTAAGTTCGCTCTTCTTTCTCTATTGTTAATCCTGCCACATTGTCTACATTTATATTCCACCTTTCTCTTTTCCCTTTTTTCGTATTTGTATTTATCAAAATAGTACCTTCTTGGCACTTATCTAGAGATTGGAAGCTCAGCCAACTCAGGTGGCAGCAGAAGGGAATCTACCCCCAGGATGGGTGAGTATGTTGCCTTTCTCTTTTTAAAGTCTTTATGGAAAACTTATGTCACGCGTTACCAGCTTCGAAGCAACACTTGAGCATCAAATTTCTCGTTCGTCTCTTGTTAAAATATCTGCTATGTGTTTTGTCCGTTTCGGGCCAAATCGCTTTGTAGATTGAAGCAACTGATCCTGGAAGTGGTGCTCTATTTTATTATAACTCGAGTTCAGGGACAAGTCAGTGGGAAAGACCTACAGAGGCCGCTCCAGTTTCTGCTGCTGCAACACCATCCCTTTCAGAAGATTGGATAGAGTCATTTGATGAAGCATCAGGTATACCGTATATATAGCACGTGTGTAAGATTTTCATAAGATTAGCATGCAGTGCTCTTGTGAAGAAGATGTAGTCAGCTGATGTTCTGAAGTTCAATTTTTTTGTTGTATA